CTGCAATGCTTCGCCTCTAATTTGCCACTTCTTATCACTTAGTTCACTGATGATCTCTGGTTTTATCTGTGCACTAAATTAGAAAAAAAAGGTACATATAAAAATATATACTCAAATAAGTACAGAGATCATGAAAATGGAAACTACAATATTATTGGATCTAAATTGACTTTAGCCAATACTAATTATTCTTGCTTTCCTTATAACGATTTTTATTGTAAATTGACAACGTTCCTAAATTAACAAATTCCTAATAAAAGTTCATGACATTTAATGGGGCAGCTAATGATCCAACGGCCGTTTAATTATTCTTACCGCGCGCGTATGAAAACGAAAGTATAATTAGCTATGTCGATTGTCGAAGTGGAAAATATATATAGTACCCGATTTGTTGTCTTTATTGGCCCTGCAGCTAGCACAACGACAAGAGGAGGCTTTGAAAAAATACTTTTCAGGGCACCATGTTTACATTAACCTGCCAACAGCCTAAATCACTAGTGTATCAAGCAGTGCCTATATATATTGTATGACACGCTTAATCGGCGACCAAAAGGTACTGGTATAATCGTGCCTGACACCAAATGTCTTTCGTGGGCTTTTTCGATCACTCGGAAACACAAAACACAAGAGATGTTGTCGACTTTTTTTTGTAGCTCGGAGGCAACACTCCTTCCGCCATGAATGTTAATGTCGACAACAGCACATTATATAGTAATTTATGCAAGAGGTCTGACGTCACGGAACACGATAAAGCTTGCAGTTTGGCAGACCCCTAATTTCCCGTTTAATTTTCGGCTGGGGTCTGCGGGCAGGCTAGGGTATAGACTTAGAAAGCCTACAACACACTACCTGTGACACAACCCATGAATATTAAGGCGAAAGATAAAGGGGCCAGTCTGGCATCGTTCCACCAATAAATACTTTGTATATTCATATTCGAATTGAAAAGATCTAAATAATACCTTATATCTGTTCTTGGAATGAGATCAGCCAGGTTTGTCACAGATGAAGCTCCATCGTCTTCGGCATCATCTGCTGTTGTTGATTCCCCCTGACCAGCACCAGCAATTTTGGAAATCACACCTCTTGTTGGTGCTGGGGGTTTCTCGTCTTTGACCTAATAAAAAAAACTCGTCAATCTTTGTTTGTAATACGCATTTCATGGACGAATACAACAGAAATCGATCATATAACGCGGCTATACGTGGCATTTTAAAATAGTTGTTATTATTATTATTATTCTTTAGGCACGGTAACCTTTCACGTGTGTGCTTTTCAAAGGGCCGTGTTGTACTATTTACATTTATAAGAAACTAATTATATAAACAACAAAACTATCTTATACCTATTTACAGAAATTGAATAATAAATTTAAGTGTAGTATCGGAAAAAGTTTAAGAACTGGAATAGATGTAATTATTGAGTAAAGTATGAACATTTCTTAAACTCATCGATTCTCTTAACCGAATCAGGAGGTTTGTTGGAATGTTGTTCCAACATGTTGTGCCTCTATATGAAAAGCTGTTTTTCAGATAATTTGTTTTTGGTTTAGGATGAAGCAGCTTTAAATTATTACTGCGCAGTTCATAGCCATTGTTTTCACAAGTATGAAATAAATCTGTTATATATTTTGGAAGTATGCCTTTAATGGCTTTAAATGTCATAAAAAGATCACGTTTTTTCAGAATTAAGTCAAGGGGCTTCCAATTTAGTTTTTGAAAGATGACTGAGGATCTAACAGTATAGTCTGAGTTTGTGATAATTCTAGCCGCACGCTTCTGAAGTTTATGTAATTTATTTAAATGTGTTTTGTTATTATTTTGCCATATAGTTGAGCAATAGTTAAAATGAGGCATAACTAGTGCATTATACATAATTTGTAGTATATTTAAGCCAACGAAATCTTTAGCTTTCTTTAAAAGATTAATGTTTTTTGAAATTTTATTACATTGCTCTTTATTATGTAAGTTCCATTTGAGCTCATCATCTATAACTATGCCCAATACTTCCTTTTTATTGACTCGTTCTATTTGATGTCCGTTTATTATAATTTGTGGTACATGGTATAGATTTTGTAATCGTTGTCGTGAGCCGATAATCATGTATTTAGTTTTTTTGCTATTTAAGGTCATTTTGTTTGCTGATAGCCATTTTTGAGCGTTTTTTAGGTCTTTATTGAGCTTTCTTTCTATATCTGATGATGACTGTCCTTGGCATGATAGAATTGTATCGTCAGCAAATAAATTAGCATGAGTTGTTTCTAGACAGTGTGGAAAGTCGTTAATGTAAAGAAGGAATAATAATGGTCCAAGATTTGATCCCTGGGGTACTCCACAGTGAATTGTTTTAATGTTAGATTTACAGTTATTTAAAGTGCAAATTTGTTTCCTTTGTTCTAAATACGACCGAAACCATTTAAGTGAATTATCCCTTATCCCATAAGCTTCAAGTTTTGATAGAAGAATCTGATGATCAATCGTGTCAAAGGCTTTCTTTAAATCTAGGAATATGACCCCATTTATCAGACCCTGGTCCATCGATTTCAACCACATTTCTGTCGATTGTAATAATGAGGTTTCGGTTGAATGATTGCGACGGAAACCTGATTGATTGTTCACAATTATATCAGTTTTTTCCAGATATGTATTCAGCTGTTTACTAACTAATTTTTCAAATAACTTAGCTATGTTCGAAATAACTGATATTGGTCTGTAATTTTCACAAAGAGTCTTGTCTTCCGATTTGTATATCGGGGTAACTTTTGCAAGTTTCCAATCGTCTGGAAATATACCTGTCCTAAGGGATAGGTTAAATATGTCCAGAAGTGATTGGATTATCGTATCGCCTGCTTGTTTTATTAGTTTAGTGGAAATTTTATCTAAACCTGTTGATTTTCCTATTTCCAAATTTTTAATTTCATTTTTCAAATCATAAGCTGATATATTATGAAAGTAAAACATATCTGTTACCCGATTTATATATGACAGGGGGTCGGGATAATTACTATGGTCAGGAATGTTGTTTGCTAATTTAGGGCCTATAGAAGTAAAGTATTTGTTAAATTCATTGACTATATCTTTGTCTTGTGTCACTTTGTTTCCTTGGCTTGTACTGAGTTCATTTACAACCGTAGATTTCGTTTTCCTGTTTAGTAAATTATTTAGTGTATTCCATCCCTCTTTACTGTTTTTACTGTTTTGTAGCTTAGCATTGTAATATTGGACCTTAGTTTCTTTAATTAATTTGTTTAGCTGATTTCGGCAGCGCTTATAGGCTTCGTTATAATTGGAGGAATTAAATTTGATTGCTTTTTGTTTCAAATAGAATTTATGATACGCCAAGTTTTTAATTTCATTTGTCATCCAAGGGCAGTGTTCGCTTTTTACTTTACGGATCCGAAGAGGAGCATGTATATTTGCGATATCAAGAAAGATCGTTTTCCATACCTCCCATGCCTGGTTCGGGTCAGTATAGTTATAATAATTATAGTTTTCTTGAAATCCCATTTTCAGATCGTATTGAAAAGTAGCAGAGTTAAAGTATTTGAACTGTCTTGTTTCAATTATTTTTGGCTCGTTTTTGGGAATTCCACTTTACGACAAATGTATGCCAAACTATGTCGCTTAATCCTAGATGTATTACTCCAGAGTCAGTGATTTTGGTGTCGCAAGCTCTCGTCATTATAATATCAATTAAAGTCTGTGAGGTTTGCGTTATTCTAGTTGGATCTGTAATATGTTGTTTTAATTGGTATTCGTTAATTAAATCTGATAGTCTTTTTGTGTTGTTACTAGGGTTTTTGGTCAGCATATCGCAATTTAGATCGCCAGTAATGATGAGATCTAAATTTGTATCTCAGGTTTTGCAGTAACGTTTCAAAGTTATCTAACAAGTTATGTTAGAATTTGGTGGGCGATACCATGTACCAATTATGATTGGTTTTGATTTAGGTTTATGAATTTTGATACAGATAGCTTCTAAATTCACTGGAATAAGTTCAATAAGGTTTTTGTAATTAATGGTAGTTCTTATATATATTGCAACGCCCCCACCATTTCGATCTCGGTCTCTTCGCACAATATCATAACTTGGTATTTTAATAATGCTATCATTAATTGTATTATCTAGTCTTGTTTCGTTTAGACAGAGTATATCGAATGATATTTCTTTCATAAATAACCTAAGCTCATCAATATGTTTTGGCAGACTAGTTATGTTTAAATGCGCGACTTTAAATCCTTTTGTTGAAGTATAGTGACACTGGACAGTATAATCCCGACCTTAGATATCGGACAGTAAAAGTATGGGGTTGACTAATTTTAAACCTCAATTTTGATTATTTAAATTTCGTGTAATCAGAAAGGACAAAGAAATGATCTCAATCTCCTACTTAGTTGGCAGTAATCCACCACTAATAACTGCGAATTCACCTATCGTTGAAATTTTTAATATAATTTCAAATTCACGCAAGTAACTTAATCGCTTTCCTTCCCCCAGCGTTTACTATTGCATGCACGCACATTTAACTAACAGAGATCGACAATTTATAGGGAGGTTACGCAAACCTTTTCAAATTCACTATCAATTTGCCGCAATAGGGTTGCCTTTTCACTTTCAAAGAACATGTGGAGACTGGGACCAGTGTACATGAAGATCACACCAAGTGCTGATATAGCGGAAGAGCGAACAGCCTGGGAAGAAATAATAATACCTTAAGTGTCAATAGGCATGTTTATTGACGGGATTATAATACGAGGAAGGCCCCTCGGCCTATAGATGTGGAACATAACTCCTCAAGAAAAATTCAAGGACATTTCAAAACATTTCAGGAGAGGTTTCATGGTCGTACAAGCTCTGTGATATGATATGATAACAATACAGTACCTTAACTTTTTCGGCCCACTCAACCCGGAACACGCCGTGAGAAAATAGTTCATGCACACACGGGTAAGAGATGGGGCATTGGTCACAGGGTGACGATTATACCTGAGCGTGGAAGGGGGCTGATACTAATAATAACAGACCTTTTTCATAATCATGTAACAAGTGACGCCTGTAAAGGCCAGTTTACATTTGCGATTATTGCTGCGATTTTCTCCTTTTGATAGATGTGAACGAGTGCATTAGTTACAGATAGATAATGAAATAAGAGCTCTTGTGCATCAACTCATTTCAGTCATTTGTAACTTCGTAATTACTCGTTCACATTTATCAAAAGACGAAAATCGCAGCCAAAGTTGCAAATGTAAACGGGCCTTGGGGAATTTCAATTTCAAATTTTTTTCCGGCGTGACTATTAAGACCAGAATTCCTTGCAGACGCCACTCGAAAAGTAGGACGGAAAAGTAACTCGGAATAGGCATCACGATTGTGATATCTGTAGCACAGTATGTGAGCCAGTACGTACCGGATTTGTGTGGGCCAGACTTTGCTTTATGTAGTTGACGTGTGGCTTAATGTCAAACCTTAAAAAAAGTCAATGAACACTCGCACATATCTATGTGACCACCATAATACAGGGGCTTCCAAAAAGGGGATCCTTAGAAACTGTTTCGAATTTTATGCGCCTGGGGCGCATTGTATGAAACTATTTAACTACACGCTGCATAGGTAAATCCTAGTTCAGAAATACAGAAATATTCAGAAATATTCAGAAATACACGACTCTGATTGGCCACCTCTGTGTCTTTTATACAACGGCCCACCAGTAACTAAAAATTCACTTCTACTGTTTTTAGCATCCAGGGTGACCGAAAAAACCTGAAGAATCCCAGCGGCGAGCCACCTTAAGTTTTGTTCTCATATGTCGCTGACAGTCGGCGTTGTATTGTTGTTGGTCAGCGGCGAAAAAATAATTTCAAAGCACTTCATTGGTCAATGAACATCTACAATGAACAAATTTCTTTTCTTTTTTAAGACGGGAAAAAAGGCTCAAGCAAGTCTACACCAAACAAGGATAGCTAGGGCATTTTAATTTTCAATTCAACCACACTTACTTCATACCGAACGCCTTAATTGCATCTGACAACCAGTTCAGACTCTCTGACAGAACCTTTGGATTTTTCTGTCCACTGGCACAGCCCGATACCTCGAATGACAACGTCAGAATGTAAACAAATAGGAACGATAAACGTACGTACATGGGACCTACAATATCATTACGTATCCTGACGCTGTCCTCATGCACAGCGGTACGGGAACTCTCCAATCGACTGATTTAACCGTGACCTAGGATTTTAATTCATTTAGAGCGGAAATCCTCCAACACGCAAACACATGCACTATTTATTATTAGTTAAAAAAAAACTGGATACAGCATTTAATCATTTTTTAAAATTATATTCTTGAAATGCTCACCTTTAAGCTAACATAGTTCAGTGAAAGATTCTCGGCGAAAACCATTAATGTCTCCTTACATTGCTCTTTCAACTATGACATAAAAATACACTTACACTTGCACGTTTCCTTTAAAGGCAACGACTGACTTCTTCGTCTCTCATTTATATTAAGCTACAACTGAACAAACACTAACTTTTGATTGAAATTAATATGGGCATATCATTTTTATTTCCAGAAGCGAAAAAAAGTTTCTTTTAGTCAAAAGTATGCATGGTTGGATTTGTATCAAAACATAATATCAAATCAACGAATAAACTTTGGTATAAGGTATACCAAATAAAGTATATACTACAGGTGAAAATAGCAATTCAGTCCTGTTGTACTGTAGCTACTTCACTTCATTAAACCACATGAACACGAGTATAGCCCATACCTTGATATCACCGATCTTCTCCACGAGGCCAGATATGGCATAAAATGCGCTTCTCTTGGAAAACGAAGCTGAAAGTGTTGCAATGACAGCGCACAGATTGAACTTGTTCTTCAAAACCTAAAACCAATAAGCTAAGATTATTAAGTTTCTACTCAATAGCCTATACGGTTAGATCAGACACCAATTCAACGAGGGTCCGTTCAATGCGACCCATATATAATATCGATAATACCTGAAAGTTGCTTTCTTTCCAGCCAGGCTTCTTTGCCATGGTTCTGATCAAAACTTGGGACGGTAGAGTTTTTGGATCCAAATCGTTTACAAACTAAAGCACACAAGAAAACGAAAATACAGAGAACGAACGCAAAATGCATGCATGGCTAGCGTTTCATTAGCGAGATTAATTAATCTAAAATTACACAATTATTCAGATTCTAAACCCCTTAAATTTCAGGTACATGCCGAAGTGAAATCTGAAAATTCGTCCTTGGTTAATAAACTGTCATCTGAATTGACCTGAATTGGTCACTGGAATAGACCTTTTCAGCTTGTATTCAAATCACATGGTCAGAAATGGTTATGTTTTATTGGCTATTCCATGATCACAACATCTGAAATGAGTTAATTTGCATGCAAGCTGAAACGGTCTTATTGGCAAACAAAAAAATGTATTCAAATATACACGCTGAATTCAAACGATCGATGTTACACAATAGCTACTTTATTATTTCATACTTGTGTTAAGGCTTCTGTCCCAGCCAACCGCTCTCTCCAGTTCGTGCTGGCGAATTGTTCACGGATATTGGCCGGGATGAGTTCTTCAGCTTTGGCGTCTACTTCCTCCGGCTTCACGATGAATGAAAAAAAAATAGTATCAAGAACTAAAGTGGGAACTTAAGATATAGTCCAAAGTAATATATACATGCAGCTATATATGCATGGATTTCAAAGACGTATATGAATGAGACAATAAATAGTTTTAAGTTTCACGTATATATGTTTCACGTACCATTCTCACGTAAACTCGGGTTGGGTTATAAAATGAGGTGAATAGTTTGACGATTTTATTTTATTGCAACGAGCTGATTTGCGCTGGATTTGCCAGTCAACAATTGCTAAGTCACGTGTAGAAAGATCTTATCAAATTGATAACAAAAAGTGATCCCTTAAATGCAGTTACCTATATATATACGACTAAAATGACCAACCATGCAGAATAATTTATTTTGAGTTAACACCCTAAGTTGAATTTGTGAATTTTACACGTCAGGTCCCAAGAAGAAAAAATAGCCTTTGGTATCACTTGTACCGCATCGGTACTTACATCATGAGTGTTTTAGATACAATTTACACAAAAGAAAACTCCATGCATGCAAATAATATTCAGTAAAGAGAAAATTACCGTCATCTCTGCTTCTTTCATCACTTCATCATCTTTGAAAGATGTCGCTGAATCAGTTTTAGCAGCTTTCTTACCACCAGATCCTTTTTTACCAGCAGGCTATAAACAGATGCAACAGAAAAATTACAGGCCGACTCTTTTTTAAACGAAACGAAACTGCATTTTAAATATGTATAGTAGATATTGCACACAGATATTTCAAAACTAAAAATTAACCTTTGATCAACCACAAATGAAACTGAATTACCCTTAAAGATCAAGACATAAACAGTAGCTACATGTAGGTCTTTATATAAAGCTACGAAACAAACACACAAACTACGTGGTCTAAGCTATGCCGTCAACAAATCAGATTATCTTACCTTATTCTTTGCTGTGTCGGTAGACGAGCTTGGTGGTTTAGCTTTAGCTCCAGCGGTACTGGGTTTCTTACTCGGTTCAGATGTTGTAGATTTTGAGGTTGGACCGCTTGGAGCTGCAGACTTAGTTTCTGTTTTTTTCACAGGCTGCGCTTTAGCAGCAGCTGGAGCTGGAGCAGCACCGCCTCCGCGACTGGGCGCGGTGCTAACCTCCGCTTTCTCTGCAAATTCTTTTACCTGGGAAATTAGGAAAGAATGAGGCGTGTCAGTGTTAGCCTTGCGGCCACAGGTTCTTGTAATATCGTTGCACACAACAGTGCTAAAACTAAACACGGGTTCCTTCAACACTTTACTTTTATTATACAAACATTACGCCAGTGATCTACACTTCTATAGTATCTGACTTCGACTGACTCTCTGTTATTATCATTCCTCTACACACGTGTGAACGTGTTATATGATACCTGTCGGTTCGGTCACAGTTTCACCGAGTTCGTCAAATATGCTAATCAAGTCTACTTTATAGTTAATTAATGCGGCTTACATCATGGGTGGTCCAGGCAAATTTAAAAACAGGATTGAAAATACCTTATCAAGTTTAATCTTGTCAAGTTGGTCAACAAAAGGGCCCATAGCTCTCTCGCCTAGCAGTTTCAATAATGTACCCAATGCCTCTGCAGCCGCATCACGCACTGGGGCAGACGTATCATCCATGCTCTATATAAAAATAGTTCTGTTCATTGCTGCATGTACCAAGTAGTTCCGTAAAATTACATGAAATTCAGCCTTCTAGAAATTTATGTGGATAATAATATATAGATTCTTAAAAATAATAGGAGGTTAAATAAGATGGTAGAAAAGAACCATATAATTTAACATGATTATATAAAGCAGTGAGGAATCCATTTTTCTACAAGGAATTTTGCATCGAGAAATATTGAAATAAATGAAAAACGTATACCACCACACATTACCTTCGACAGACTTGCACAAATTGGTTTCAACACCTGTCTGGGTAGGTCAGATGGCTTACTTTTGCAGCCCACTCGAGTTAAGAACTTTATTGTTTCTTCCCTTACGGAGGGATTTTTGCTTGAAATGGCCGTGGTCACGTCTTCCTGGATGGCCGCTATATTTGTCTAAAGACCATTAAATGTACATTATTATTAACAATATTATTAAAAACTATTAATAATAAAATAATTAATATATATATATAAAAATTATACCGTTGTATACACCGCATCGATCGCTTCTCTTAAGGATGTGACAACATTTACTTTCTTTTCTTTAAACTTTTCCAAAATAGCTGAAACAACCGATGTTGCATACGGAGCAAATTTCGAACGAAGACCGGTTGCCAGTCCAGCCACACACTTTCCAGCCAGAGCAACAACCATCACGTTGCTATCTTTTGTAATTGCCTAAAAGGTGATAAAAATATACGCGGTCAGTCCAGTGCTGACTCCGGTGGACGATGTAGCTATGTTTGTTAGTTTACTACAAAAATGTATAAAAAATCCTTCAATATTGTAACATAGTATAGCTACCTGAAACCACCCGAAAAATTTGACTTTGATACATAAGAAATTAAGTGGTCTCGAAATTAGCAGTGGATAGAGCATCCTACATATATTGAATCTTCAAGCAAGAATATACGTGCACCCCATAACGAGGCGCTTTTTCCCCGTTTCCTGCGAATTGGCACCACTCATGTAGAAATGATATGTTAATAGTGGTCGCATTTCAAAAGGAACAGGTGTTTCATTTGACATTTCATCCAGAAAAGCGCACGCGGAATTAAGCTTAAATGAGATGACCTCATGTTTGGTAATCGTAAGTAAATGCAGCAATTGTTAATAAACATTAGTGTCAAGTAAAGATCTATTCACATGATCCAATTTTGTTGGATCCAATTCAATGATTCATTTTGATAATGCAAAGCATGTCATGTCATGCATTGGCTTTAATTAATTTGCTGCCCATATACATTGCAAGTCGATCAACAGACTATAAAACAGCCAACAGAACCGAATTGGATTCCGTCAGATCCAATGTCGGATTCTGTCCGAACAAAATTGGATTGCGTGAACAAACCTTAACAACAATAACAACACACCTTCTTTAATACGGCCATTAGCTCCCCATATTGTCCACCTTCAATCTTTGGATTGGATGTCAGCTTGTCCAGTTGCTCCAATGCCTCTTTTCTTGTTGACCATTTTGTTGCTGCCTAAACACGCAAGATACAGCGACAGACTTAACGTTGGTAATCAACATTAGTCAACACAATGCAACATTATGCACGATGGAATTGAAAATAATAATGCTTCTACTTAACAACTTACCATGTTCTCATAAAAGTCTTTAGGAATTTTAGACAAAATATCAACGGCATCAAGTAGGTCGTAAGGATCAACGTCAACAGCGTGTGATTCTGAAATGGACAACAGTTCGAAGAAGATATAGAATCAACCAAAAAACGAAATTGGAATAGTGTAGCTAAAAATTAACATTGTAGAAAACTAATTATCAGAATATTTCAGTTTTAATCGCTCTCTTTGTGCTGAGAGAAATTGCCACTGCCCCCACCCCCCACATTTTTTGTTCAACGGATTCCGCTATGTTTCTGAAAACACGCAATCGAACAAACAAACAGCTCAATGCTGGGGTTTATTCTAAGCTGGAGTTGCTCCCCCTTTTTGAAAATTTCTGGAGATGGAAATTAGTATATGGGTGTCTGTAGATCTACAATTATTACTCATTTTCATCTCCAGGGGCCGGTTGTATAAAACTCTAACTACATTTTGCATAGTTAAATCCTAGTTAACTCAGAAATACTCTGATTGGCCAATTCTGTTCTTAACTACAGTTAAAAGTTTAATTGGCTTTTATACAACTGGGCCTAGAAATTTTCTTAAAATTTCAAAAAGTGGTAGCAACCCCAGCTTAGAGAACAATTAAGGAAATTTTTCGCTCGATTCCCTTTTCAATACACCCTTCCGGTAATTACGTCACAACTTTACCGTTTCCAGTTTAGAACCACCTTAAATGAAACAGATTTCATTCAGTAAAACAAGTTTTACTCTCACGAACTATGTGAAAAGATGTGAAACATCCTTCTTCAACACATGCGTCAGAAAGAATTTTTCATTGTGACTAATAAACGTGAAAATACGTCATGACGTGAAAACGAGGCTCGGGTTTTTCATTCTCGTGTTATGGCTCATTTCCATATTTATTGGTTCTGACGTAATGACCGGAAGGGTCTATTGTGATCTGTCAAGTGGATCCGCTCCTGTCGAATTCCTTCAGTTGAAAAGAGACCAAGCGGAAAATTTCATTTCTTCAAAAAATTCCGTCTAGCGGAGAACCGCTCTTACACGCGCAAACCTACGCACGTTTCGTGAAATTGAACTTAACTATAATGAATATTCGCCCAGTTGCCTTCCAATACCTTCTTCGACAATTTCTCCACTAGTGCTCCCAACTGCTTCACTGGGCGGTGGTGCCTGTGCTTGCTTTCCTTGTTGTGATCGCGTAAATCTAGTTGGTTTGGGTGACGCTGGGTCCAGTTTAGCCCACTCCTCTTCTAACTCTTTCATCTAAAACAAAGTGGAGGGTTGTAAAGGTGAGATTCGTCAACTAGAAGATGTTTTTATATGCTATTGTATGATTAAATCACTATGCCAAAAACATCCGTCGTCTTCCACTTTACAGTCCCTAGTTTTGCAGAAACATATATAAAGAAAGGCTCCTATGGAGTCTGCAGACCACACCTCTATATACCAACTTTGGTGGAGAAACACAGCACTGGTTGTACATGATCGACCGCGTAGTCGGAATCGTAATTGTTGTGAGGACACGTAATGGCAGATAGCTGTATCTCGAAAAAGCCACTAATTTATAAAGATTGTTTTTTAAACATCAGTTTTAGAGGATGTTTATTGAATATTAGCGAGGTTCCAATTTGTTTTTTCCAAGTGTTTTCCAACGTATTTGATTGGTTAATGCATGTGGTTAATGTTTCCTCGATGGTAGCGGTAGTGAAACTGTTGAACCTCTTAGTACAGCTTAATAAAAAAACAGTAAAAAAACAGCAAATTTTACCTGGACAGGTTTAATGTTTGTCAATTGAGCCTTCACCGCATCCTTGATCCACTTGTAGATTTCAATTGCCAACAACTTTGTCTGTGAAAGAGATACGAGATATCACAGTAAACGATGGAATCAGCTACATGTATAGACGGGTGGGTATTACTTGTAAGTATTACTGTAAGTAAGTATTCCTTCTTAAAATACAGTTACGACACGAGTGGAAATTGGAAAAATCAAGCGGAAATGAATGGAAACACTCCGATCGAAGGGTGGTTTCTACGCAATTTCAAGTTTATCCAATTTTCACGAGGGAATGCGTGAATAGATTACCTCCTCTCGAACGTTTTTATCACTGTGATCAAATAGCTTTGGTAGAACTTTAACCACAGGTTTCAGAGCGAATATTTTACCACCAAACTCACTAAATCACAAAAATGAAATAGCTATTTAAAGGCCCTGTCACACTGTTGCGTATCGAATTAGCGTATGGCAGCGTATGATAAATATCACGCATACGCCGGAATACGCTAAAATATGCTGGTGGTACGTCGTGCGTAAGTTATACACGTTCCAAGCACGGTCACATACGCTGGTATACGCCGAGGAAGAAAATTTTTTTTAAGCATGCTTAAAAATCTTGTGCGTGTTTGGACGTATGGTTTATACGGTACAGATAAGCTAGTCATACGCTAAATACGCCAGAAGGACGCTAAATGTACTGTACTAATAGGTTGAGTACGCTAATCATACGCAAATGAGTAAGTGTGCCGTACAACTAACGTGTTGATAGCGCATCAGTAACGAAGGTCTAACTTATGTGTGACTACTTAATTACACTATACAAATATAAACTATATATAATATGCAGATTTAACTACTTGAATTTATGAGCCTCTTGAAACAATGAATCGATTGAGCAGACTATTCCATAATACAGCTCCTCTATTTTTAAAACTTCTTTCTTAGGTCTCGGGATTGATAGATCAGTATCGTAATGTCTCAGGTTATAACCATTTTCAATTACACTACGCTCAGAAAAGGATTCGCGAAGGCACGGAGCAGTACCGTTATTTAGGATATTATAAACGAGAACTGCTTTGTTAGTTTTATATTTAGTTTCGAGATTTTTCCATCTAAGCTGCTCCAGGAGTTCAGAGGAGCTTGTATTGTAGTCTGCCCCCGTTAACACCCGAGCAGCCCTATTTTGAAATTTTTGCAACTTTTCTTTCAATAATAGACCGCAATTGTCCCAAAGAGGGGAACAATAGTCAAAGTATGGTTGAATTAAAGCTTTGTAAATAGTGTGCATGGTTTCTTCAGAAACAAAGGGTTTAACTCGTCTCATTACACCTATTCCCGCGCCTACCTTTCTGCTTATTGCATTTATATGGGATCCCAATTAAGTTGTTCATCAATCTCGACGCCCAAACATTTAAAAGATCTATAACGGGTTACTGGTACATTTCCAAAGATCACTGACTTATTTCCTAGTTTATTTTGAATGTTATACGAAGAGCCTACAAACAAAAGTTTAGTTTTGGTAGTATGATGTTGCAATTTATTATCACTAAGCCATTTACTGATATTTTTTAAATCAGAGAATGTCTACTAATTCATCAAAGTTATCCG